CAATAAAGAAATCCAAGATCTAAAATATACAATAGATCAAATGGACCTAGTTGATGTCTACAGAACATTTCATCCAACTTCCTACATTCTGCAATGGACCTTCTCCAAAATAGATCATATCCTAGGGTACAAAGCAAGTCTCAGCAAATATAAAAAATTAGAAATTATACCGTGCATACCATCTGACCACAATGCAGTAAAAGTAGAACTCAACAACAAAAGTAAAGACCAAAAATATGCAAACAGCTGGAAACTAAATAACTCATTACTTAATAAAGAAAGGATCATTGATGAAATAAAAGAGGAAATTAAAAAGTTCTTGTAGTCAATGAAAATGAAAACACAACCTACCGGAAACTATGGGACACAGCTAAGGCAGTCCTGAGAGGAAAGTTTATAGCCATGACTGCATATATTAAAAGGACTGAAAGATCCCAAATCAATGACCTAATGATACATCTCAAACTCCTAGAAAAACAAGAAAAAGCAAATCCCAAAACAAATAGGAGAGAAATAATAAAAATAAGAGCTGAAATCAAAGAAATAGAAACCAAAAACCATACAAAGAATTAATGAAACAAAAAGTTGGTTCTTTGAAAAAATAAACAAGATCGATAGACCCTGGCAAACCTGACTAAAATGAGGAGAGAAAAACCCAAATTAGTAGAATCAGGAATGCAAAAGGGGAGATAACAACAAACACCATGGAAGTCCAGGAAATCATCAGAGACTACTTTGAGAACCTATATCAAATAAATTTGAAAATCTTAAAGAAATGGACAGATTTCTAGATACATATGATCATCCAAAACTGAACCAAGAGGCATCCAAAAACTGAACCAAGAGATATTATTCACCTGAATAGATCTATCACACAAATGAAAATAAAAGCAGCAATAAGAGGTCTCCCCAAAAAGAAGTCCGAGGACACCTGATGGATTTCCCTTGCTGAATTCTATCAGGACCTTTAAGCAGAACTGATTACCAACCCCTCCTTAAAACTGCTCCAAGAAATAGAAAGGGAAAGGAAGCTGCCTTACACATTTTATGAAGGCCAGTAATTACCTTATCCCAAACACCAGGCAAAAGACACCTCCAAAAAAGGAGAACTATGGCCAATCTCCTTAATGAACATTGATGCAAAAATCCTCAACAAAATAATGGCAAACCGAATTCAACAACACATCAAAAAGATCATTCACCACGACCAAGTAGGCTTCATCCCAGGAATGCAGGGGTGGTTCAACATATGAAAATCAAATAAACATAATAAACCACATTAAAGAGCAAAGACAAAAAACCACTTCATCATCTCAATAGATGAAAGAAAAGCCTTTGATAAATCCAACACCATTTCATGACAAAAGCTCTAAGAAAACTAGGAATAGAAGGAAAGTACCTCAACATTATAAAAGCTTATATGACAAACCTACAGCCAGCATTATATACGGAGAAAAACTGAAACCATTCCCTCTAAAATCAGAACCAGACAAGGATGCCCACTATCTCCACTCCTATTCAACATAGTACTGGAATCCTAGCCAGCAATTAGGCAAGAAAGGCAGAATAAAAGGAATACAAATAGGTAAAGAAACTGTCCAAAATCCCTATTTGCAGATGACATGATCCTATACCTTAAAGACCAAAAAACTCTACTCAAAAGCTCCTAGACACCATCAATAGTTATAGCAAGGTAGCAGGATATAAAATCACATAGAAATCATTAGCATTTCTATTACACTAATAAGGAACAAACTGAAAAGAATATATGAAAACAATTCCATTTACAATAGCCTCAAAAAAAATCAAATACCTGTGTGAACTTAACAAAGGATGTGAATGACCTCTACAAGGAAAACTAATAAACTTCTGAAAGGAGATTGAGGAAGACTATAGAAAGTGGAGAGATTCCCCATGCTCATGGATTGGTAGAATCAACATAGTAAAAATGTCTATACTCCCCAAAGTAATCTACATGTTTAATGCAATTCCCATCAAAATCCCAACGACATTCATTAAAGAGATTGAAATCTACTGTAAATTTATATGGAAACACAAGAGGCCACAAATAGCCAAGGCAATACTCAGTCAAAAACAATGCCTGGAGGTATCACAATACCTGACTTCAACTATATTACAAAGCAATAATGATAAAAACAGCATGGTACTGCAACAAAAACAGACATGAAGACCAGTGGAACAGAATAGAGGACCCAGATATGAAGCCACAAACTATAACCAACTTGTCTTTGACAAAGGCACTAAAAACATTACGATGGAGAAAAGACAGCCTCTCAACAAAACTGCTGGGAAACTGGTTAGCAGTCTGCAAAAAACTGAAACTAGATCCATGTATATCACCCATATACCAATATTAACTCAAAATGGATCAAGGACCTTAATATCAGACCCCAAACTCTAAAGTTGATACAGGAAAGAGTAGGAAATACTCTGGATAGTAGGTATAGGTAAGAACTCTCAATGAACCCCAGCAGCACAGCAACTAAGAGATAGCATAGATAAATGGGACTTCATAAAACTAAAAAGCTCTGCTCAACAAAGAAAATGGTCTCTAAACTGAAGAGAACCCCACAGGTGGAGAAATATTTGCCAGCTACACATCAGACAAAGATGATAACCAGAATATATAGGGAACTTAAAAAACTAAATGCTCCCAAAACTAATGAACCAATAAAGAATGGGCAAGTGAACTAAACAGAACTTTCTCAAAAGAGAAATTCAAATGGCAAAAAACACATGAAAAAATGCTCACCATCTCTAGCAATAAAGGAAATGCAAATTAAAACCACGCTAAGATTCCACCTCATCCCTGTTAGAATAGCCATCATTAGCAACACCACTAACAACAGGTGTTGGCGAGGATGTGGGGAAAAAGGAACCCTCTTACACTGCAGGTGGGAATGCAAACTACTACAACCACTCTGGAAAAAAATTTGGAGACTACTTATAAAGCTAACATTGATCTAGCATATGATCCAGCAATACCACTCTTGGGGATATATCCAAAAGACTGTGACACAGGTTACTCCAGAGGCACCTGCACACCCATGTTTATTGCAGCACTATTCACAATAGCCAAGTTATGGAAACAGCCAAGATGCCCCACTACTGACATGGACAAGAAAATGGTATCTATACACAATGGAGTTTTATGCAGCCATGAAGAAGAATGAAATGTTATCATTCGCTGGTAAATGGATGGAATTGGAGAACATCATTCTGAGTGAGGTTATCCTGGCCCAAAAGACCAAAAATCGTTATGTTCTCCCTCATATGTGGATATTAGATCAAGGGCAAACACAAAAGGGGATTGGACTTTGATCACATGATAAAGTGAGAGCACACAAGGGCGGTATGAGGACAGGTAAGACACCTAAAAAACTAGATAGCATTTGTTGCCCTCAATGCAGAGAAACTAAAGCAGATACCTTAAAAGCAACTGAGGCCAATAAGAGAAGGGGACCAGGAACTAGAGAAAAGGTTAGTTCAAGAAGAATTAACCTAGAAGGTAACACACATGCATAGGAAATTAATGTGAGTCAACTCCCTGTATAGCTAACCTTATCTCAACCAGCAAAAACCCTTGTTCCTTTCTATTATTGCTTATACTCTCTCTACAACAAAATTAGAGATAAGGGCAGAATAGTTTCTGCCGGGTAGGGTGGGGCTGGGGGGGAGGGGTAAGGGAGGGAGTCGGAGGAGAAGTGACCCAAACATTGTATGCACATATGAATAAAAAAAAAGTAAAAAATTCATGTGTGTTTACATCTGAGTAGAAATTTGAAAAATACAAACTTATTTGTATTTGTATATTCTTTAATCCCAACCTTAACACCCAATGATCTCAAAAAGATTCAATGTGGGGTGTGGTGGGGCATATCTATAATCCCAGCACTGGGGACACTGAGGAAGGAGGACTTCGAGTCAAGGCAACCTGGAGTACAAGGGAGGACTCTGAGTCCAAAAAAACCAAAAAAACCCCAAAACAAACAAAAACGGACAAAGGACTTAAGTTAGTATTTAGCTCACCAAAGGGAAAAACGGGTAACAAAGACTTTTCAAAGTATATTCAACTGGGAAGAACACATAAATTAAAAATAAAAGTAGGTAATATGAGTTGAGCACTCGTTTGTGCCATGAGCTCTCACTCAACCCCACGACTGGGGGGAACTGCAAGGTGGGTGCCATCATGGCAATCAGCAAGCAAAGTGGGCCCTTACCATGGGTCCCAGAGGCCCAGTGTTGGCAGCACTGGGGTTTGAACTCGGGGCCTCACACTTGCTAGGCTGGTTCTCTACCACTTCAGCAACTGCACCACCCCTGCTTTGTGTTGGGTATTTTGGAGATAGGGTCTTCCAAACTATTTGCCAGGCTGGCTTGGAACCTCCGGATGCCAGGAGCCCAGGTTGTTTGGGAAAACCCGAAGCCTCGTGGCTGCCATGGAGGCGGGGCGACCGGCTTGATGGCTCTCCGCGTGGGACCTGTCTGCTGAGTTCTTCCCACGCTGAGCCACCCAATCATCTCTTGTGCTTTGTGACGCCACTGCACCCACAATTAAAAGTTCCCATGTAGGAAGAACTTGGATGCCTCGGAGGGCAAGGGACCTAAGCCAAAAAGAGCCAACCAAGATGACGACACTGGTGAGGTTGACAGTAAACAAACTGACGCTTTCACCCACCCAGTATGGCGGTGTTCGAACCCTCACTGAAGGGTGGCACGCGGGCGGAAGCCCAACGCTGGGTCAGGTCCCGCTACGGGCTTCCCGGCACCCGCTGCGCCTCGGACCCAGGAGAAAAGCCGGCCACCGAATGGGCCCTGCTGGCGTTTGTAGTTTTGAAAACGTGACGCAGCAACGCCTGCTCCCAGACCCCGCCGCGGAGGCCCATGGGAAAAACAATAGGGTCTAGAGAACCCTCGGAACCTAAGCGCCAGCTCCGGCTGCTCCGGGATCGCGGTTCCCAGAACACCAGGGGGCGGGGCCTAGGGGGCGGAGCGTGAGGAGACAGCCGCGGACGAGGGTTGTGCGGCCGCGGCGGCGGAGGACGGACCATGCTGAGCCGTGCGTGCTCCCGGCTGGCCTCTGTGTTGTGGAGGGCCAGCGCGTCGCCGGCCGTGGTCGCCGGCAGGTGTCTGCACACAGCCGGGTCGCGACCCTCGGCGGATCCGGGCGAGAAGGCGGAGGAGCCGCCCCGCGCCTTCGACCCTGCGCTGCTGGAGTTCCTGGTGTGCCCACTCTCCAAGAAGCCGCTCAGGTGAGGCTCCCCGGTCGGCGCGGGCCGGCCAGGCCTATCCGGGTACTCGCTGCGGCGGTGCGGGCGGAGGAGGCCGAGGGGAGCCGAATGCCGTTAGCCCAAGCAGATCCAAGCGAGTTTTGCGTTCGCCCGTGGCTGCGCTTTACAATCACTGGGGATCTTTTTTCTTTTTCTTTTCTTTTTAATGCTGTTTCCCAGGGCCCGGCGTTGTGGTGCACTTCTGTAATGCCAGGTACGCTGGAGATGGCGGGAGCAGGGAGGCCAGAGTTCAGCCAGGTTTCTGAGCTACTGAGACTTAGGACAAGCCCAAAGCCAAGATGGTGACAAGTCCTGCAGTTCCCCGTGGCTGGTGTGCACAAGCGCCCTTAACCTTTCTCCTGATGCCTGCTCCGGGTTACTGAGACTGAATACTGACACCACTAGGGTCGCCAAAATGTCATCTTTGGGAGGTGGATTGCTAGCGGTTCTTATTTTCATATTCTAGATTTTTTTCCCCTACTGAGCATAATATGCACTTTCCTTAAATCTGACATTTGATTTACGTAATTGTGTATAAAGTTGCTACTTGCGTAGCTAACTCAGACGCAACGCTGTCCAGAGTTTACTCCTTCTGCCCTCTCGTCTTTCTCAAGCTTGTGCATATTTTGATTTTTCAGTGGTTTCTTTCTCCTGGATCAGTTAAGTTTCTCTATTTAGCATTTATTCCAAAAGGAGTTAATTGACTTTTCCTCTAGCTGTTCTAAGAGTATGTTAACTGTAATGGATTAGTGATTGGCCACAGTAATGAAGGAATATTTGAATAAAAGAAATCTTTTCTGACTGCCATAAAAAACAAAATTAAAGTATAACTTGGGGAGTAAAGTGAAAAGATGAGAGATGTTGAATCTAATGGGAATAATTATAAATTCTAGGAATGTTTTTAGAGAAATGGTTGAATTGCTGTTGTTGCTTTTGTAATTAAGACTGGACTGTCGTGTCCAAAAATTGAATAACCAGTGTTATCCAAACATGAAGTTCTTCCTAGCCTCTTTCACCCTAATTCATTTTGTGTTTTATGTCCCCTCAGATATGAAGCATCAACAAATGAATTGATTAATGAAGAGCTGGGAATAGCCTATCCTATCATCGATGGGATTCCTAATATGATACCCCAGGCAGCTAGGACAACACATGAAAATAAGAAGCAAGAAGAAGTGAAGCAGCACTAGACCATAATTTAAAAAAACAAAACAAACAAACAAAAAACACAACTAAATTTTCTTAATACTATCTACCTTTTCAAACGGTGGCGAGTAATAAGTGAAAGAGAAGAATGTTTCTATCTCTGCCAACCTTGACTGTTCTTATTCCGCTAATCTCCTTAGCAGGACTGTTCTACTCTGCCTCTGTGGAAGAAAACTTCCCGCAGGGCTGCACCAGCACAGCCAGCCTTTGCTTTTACAGTCTGCTCTTGCCAATTACCATACCAGTGTATGTGTTCTTCCACCTTTGGACTTGGATGGGCATTAAACTCTTCAGGCATAACTAGTACAGCCACAGTCAAGATGATGGAGGTATTAATGATAGGTCTTAGGTGTCTAGCTCTAAAAACTCAATTAGCTGGAAATACTCCAGACTCACTGGTTTGGTTTTGGGAGGCTTAAGCTGCAGAAGCTTCTTTGATTATACTTTTGTTCTCTCGTTTTTTGGAAGATTCTGAGATAACTGTTATCAGAAGAAATGGTTCAACAAAATGTCCTGGTGGAGATTAACAGTCCTAGTCATCATCTAAGGACTATTTCTTGTCCCAGTCATATAAAAGTTACTTGGCATTTTGTTTGTTTAGCTCCATGGTCAGTAGTAAAGCCACATGTTAGGCTGATTCAAATGATGCCCAAGGAGCTACATTAGAGTAGATGTAGAGAAATGCCTTAGAACTAGTATGAGATAAAATGATAAATTGGAAACTGGAAATTTCATGTACTTAAATTCTGAGTTTGTAAAAAAAATTTTTTTGGCATCAAATGCTTACATTAATAAAATTTAAGATGTTGACAGTTTCCCTTAAAAAGCTCAATTTACAAGGTTTTTATTTGTTTTGTCTCAGAGTATGATACTAAGGGAGGGAAAATGTGAACGTGTGTATTATGTTTGCACAGGCACTGAATACCCAAAACAGGATCACTTCCGGGAAAGTGGGTACTTGGGGTTGGTAAGGATAGGGATGGAAGCTGATTGTGTTCTGTTCAGGTTAGAGCCATGTGTTGAGGTACACTTAGTTTTTTCCTGTCTTAGAAGATCTGTTTAGCAGTAAGGGCTTGAGCCCTGATTTTTAGAACTTTAACAGGACTGTTTGAACATGGTACAATGACTACTTTGGAGGCATACCATGAATGTTTTAAAAGTTACCCTGAAGAAACCTTAGAATTGAACATGTTTATTTTTCCTGTGTTGGGGATCCAGTCCAGGGCTTTATGCCTGCTAGGCAAGGGATCCACCTCAAGATCCTTCTTCCTTAGCCTCTCCTGCTGGGTGGGATTACATGCCTGTGTCAATATGCCCAGACCTTAATTGGCTCTTAATTAGCATCTTAACAGTAGTTTAATAGATTTAGACAGTGATTCTTAACCATCAAGAGAAAATTTAAACATTATGTATGTTTTCCTTTGCATTAACTCAGTGTATAAATCACATTCTTAAATGTGATGGCAGTATATGAACGGGATGACTATAGAGGTTCTCAGTCATTTCCTGCAGGAGTGTTGTTTTAACTCAGTCTCATATTTGACCTGCTGAGAGTGGAGAATATGAATGAACTGGTTTGCTAAGCACTGTATTCTGAGAAACCATTCTCAACTTTGGAAGTTAAGCATTTTAGGAAGCTGACAATATACTTCTGGGGAAATTCAGTATTTTAACTCCATTCTTTCACTAATAGAATCTACTTAGCAACCATACATACCAACTACGCCAGGGTCAGTTCTAAGCATAGTGTAGTCTAATCTTAGAACTTAAAAGGGGTAGGTCCTGTCAGCACCATTTTGCAGATGAGGAGGCTGACTTACCCAAGACACCAGCTACTAGTTGAACTGAAATTCAACTAGGAAACTGCTTTTCAGTCTTCTCTTCACCACTGTGTATTGTGTCTCCTCGTTTTGAGCAAACTCTTATTTACAAGAAAAATAAGATTAGGAACCAAAATACTAATTCTTACTCAATATGGACTAGGAACATATAAATACCATATTCTTCAGTTAGATAGGAGAAACAAGTTCTAATATGCTACAACATAGTAGGGTGACTGAAGTTCATGACAATTTATTTTATATTTTATAAAGAACTGGGAGAGGAGTCTGGAGCTCCCCAACACAAGTGTTTAAGGAGAGGGAAATGTTAATTGTCCTGGTTGTGTCGTCACAGATTGTTTATGTGTATAGAATTATACTGTACCCCATAAATGTGTAAAGTTATGTATCAATTAAAACACTGCATGCTTTGCTCCAGTACTTTACTCTGTGCCGTGAGTACCTGTTACCTTTTTTTTCTTTCAGTATTAGAGATTGAACTCAGGACCTTGTGCATGCTAGGTTGTTCTACTTTTTCGGGGGGAAGGGAGGTATCTTGCTGTGCAGCTCAGTCTGGCTTTGAACTCACGATCCTCCTGAGTGTTGGGATTACAGGTGTGCACCACCATGCCTGAGTTCAACATTTTTTATACAGTGCTTAGCACAGAGCAGGTAATTACTTCGTGGGTCAGCACATAACTGGCACATCTTCAACTTTAGCCAAGTTACTCAACATCTCAGCCTCACCTTGAGGGCTGAAGTCCTTCCCCTCTTCTTTCATAAAATGCCGAGGAAATTGAATGTCACATGTGTAAATATTTCATAAAAACTTACATGATACTTCTAGAGTGGTGGTGTCAGGAATTCTGCATGCTCATTCTCCATTGAAATGAGCCTAAAGGAATGGTGAAAATCATAAATCTTTTTTTTTTTTTTAAGTCTTGGGACATAGCAACCAAAAGATTTTTCAAAATTTTCTAGGACAAGAGGTCTGGTAGAGATGAACCAGTTTGGGTTGTAATACATGTGTATGGAAGCAATACTAGGAATCTGTATGGCTATCTTTATCTCAAGCTAGCAAAAATGCTATTTCTTATTATCTCTTACGTTTTCTCTCCAACAAAATTGGAGAAGAGGGCAGAACAGGTTCTGCCTGGAAGTGGTGGGGGGGGGGGGAAGGAGGCGGTGGAGATGGGGCATGTGTGGGAGAGATGGCCCAAACAATGTGTATACATATGAATAAATGTATAAACAATTAAAAAAATTTTAAAATAATTTAAAATCTAGCACAAGAACAGTGAGTTTGTAGCCTTGGGACCACCAACCACTTGTTGCCTCCACCATCTTGGCTCAGAGTGATGGCCACTCCAGAAGGGTGCAGCCAGGAATGCAGGACTCCCTTTACCCCCACCTCCCTGACTCTCAGGTAAAGGTCATGATATCTCCTGGAGCTACAGATCACCAGAATACTTAAGGTAATTGTGTAACATAAAATTGTATACATGCATATTTCTTAAGTAATTTGTAGAGCAATTATAGAAAACAGTATACATAATTGTGTTGGGCCTATAGCGTAACGCATTAATAGCACACTGGAAGTGGATGTGAGCAAAGCTATAATTAGAGATAGCAGCAATATCAGGAGGTGATGAATTCATAGAAACACTTGAAGGGAGGCAGAAATCACAAATAAGAAAGCTAATATAACTAGCCAAGCATAGGAGGCCCACTCCTGTGATCCTAGTTACTTGGGAGGCTGAGACTGGGAAGATTGTGGTTCAAGGCAAGCTCAAGCAAGCAGTTCGAGACCCACCCTCTTCCTCCAAAAATAGCCAGAGCAAAATGGAGCTGTAACTCAAGCTGTAGAGCACCTGCTTTACAAGCATGAAGCCCTGAATTCAAACCCTAGTCCCACCAAAAAAAATTTTTTGAAAGAAAGTTAATATAACTGATGCTATAAATATATATTTGCTCTCCTTTCTTTTCTCACTGTCTTTAAGAGAAATTATATAAAGAAAATAAAACAGTTTTGTGGGATTTATAACATGGGCATATAATACATAACAATAACAGTACAGAAAGAAGGAAAAAGGAACAGAGCTATGTAAATTTAAGTACTGTTTCTGTGTCTTACCTGCATTCTTATGAACAGATCTGTAGTTTCTCTGTTTGTCTTTTGGTGGGACTGAGGTTTGAAGTTAGTGTTTTCACTCACAGGAAATTAATGTGAGTCAACTCCCTGTATAGCTATCCTTATCTCAACTAGCAAAAACCCTTGTTCCTTCCTATTATTGCTTATACTCTCTCTTCAACAAAATTAGAGATAAGGGCAAAATAGTTTCTGCCGGGTATTGAGGGGGTGGGGGGGAGAGGGAGGGGGTGGAGTGGATGGTAAGGGAGGAGGTGGGGGTGGGGGGAGAAATGACCCAAGACTTGTATGCACATATGAATAATAAAACAATTTAAAAAAAGTGTTTTGTGCTTGGCAAAGCAAGTGCTCTACCACTTGAGCCACACTTCCAGTCTGTTTTGCTCTGCTTTTTTTGGAGATGGGGGTCTTATGAACTATTTGCTCAGACTGGCCTCAAATTGCAGTCCTCCTCATTTGAACTTCCCAAGTAGCTAGGATTACAGATGTGAGCCACTGATGCTTGACTGGATCTATAGTTTTAATAGTTCTCTTAGGTTCTCACTGTCAGTGAGAATATAAAATGCTGCAACTTTTAGAAATGGCTGGCATTCTCTAAAAGGCTAAATGCATATGGCCCAGCACTCCTAGCTAAGACCACCAAGACCAATGTCTGCAAAAAAACTTGACTGCAAACATTCACAGCAGCTTAATCCAGAATAGCTCAAAATGAAGGATGGTAACCACCCCAGTGTCCAACTGATGAGTGGACAGATGAAATGTGGGATGCATATAGTGAAACACTTTGCAGTAAAAAAGAATGAGGAACTGACACATGCTATAATATGATGGACCTGGAATACAGGCTAAGTGAAGAAGCTAGTTACAAAAGATTGTTTGAATTCATTTATGTGAAACCATTCCCATGAAATGTACATAACATGCAAATCTGCAGTAACATGGTTCATTAGTGGTTGCCTAGGGTTGAAGGTAAAGGGGAGATTGCAGAGTTATGCCTGCGGGGTTCAGGGCTTCTCTTTGGGGTACTGAAAAGCTGATTGTGGTGATGCTTCCACAATTCTGTGAATATACCAAAAACATTGAGTTGTGTGCTTTCCATGACTGAATTGCACTAGTCCCCCTAATCCAAGGCCCCAGCGGATGCTTGAAACTGCAGATGGTACTGACTCTAAAATAGAGATAGCGTGAATTATGTTCTTTCTGATACATACGGACCTGTGATAAAGTTTATAAATGAGACACCAAAAGAGATTAACAATTATAAATGAAACAATTATAACAGTATACACAATGAAATTTATGAGAATGTGGTCTCAGAGTCAAAGAGTAATATTTTTGGACCATTGTTGACCACAGGTAACCAAAATCACAGGAAGTGAAACCACAGATAATGGAAGACTACTGTATACACTATGCAAATTATATTTCAATAAAACTGTTGAGGAAAAGGTCTAAGACTCAGTGGTTCCAAGTCACCTGCTGATTAGAGGTATGATCGAAGCAGAATGCAGGTCTTTGGTCTTCTAAATTTTGGCCGTCACATTGTGCTACTTCCTGTGAAACTCATATAGGACACTCTGTCAGGAATTCACCAACACGTTTCTAGTGTTCCTCTTCCAAGTTCTAGCCATCTTGGCTTCCTATCTGCTTATGGGGACTCCTTTACTAGCTTCCTGTTGCATGGCTTATGTCACAGTCCATGACTTTGACCCTACCACCTCCAGGTGTTGCACTGTAACCCCTTCTGTGAGGAACACTGTCTTACTCCACTAAATGGAACTCTTCCCCACTCCACCATAACTGGGCTCTGTAGAAACTCTTAACAGACCAGCCTATATGTCCTCATGAATGACTGTTAGGTACTGTTGCTAGCTAACCTGTTCTCTCAACGAGAACTTCCCACCCTGAAGGAGTCAAACAAGAACCTGTCATTCCCTACTCTCCCTGGTCACTCACTTTCCACCCTGCAGAGAGGGGGGCTTTTAATGAGGCCCCTTAAAACCAATCTCTGAAGTCAGGCTCTGGGTGGTTCACGCCTGTAATCCTAGCTACTCTGGAGGCAGAGATCAGGAGGATCATGGTTCAAAGCCAGCCTGGGCAAATAGTTCCTGAGACCCTATCTCAAAAAAGTCCATCACAAAAATGGTGGTGGAGAGGCTCAAGGTGGAGGCCCTGAGTTCAAACTGCGCAGTGCTGAAAAAAAAATTATCTGCGTTTGTAAGATGGAAATGACACAAACATCCAGACCAGGGGGAGTTTTCAGTGGGGTGAGAAATATGAAATTGCCTAGCATGCTCAAGATCCAGAGTAGAGTGTTCCTACTCTGTGTAGTGATGGTGGAAAAAATGTCGCCTTTTCCAAATTATGTGAAACTTGGAGGTGGCTGCTATCTTCTGCATATGCCACTAGGTGGCATTCTGGTGACCAAGTACACCAGGAGGGACAGCATTTGGCAAATAGCCTACAAACTTCTATCTAGCATCTGCTACAATGCCATAGCATCGAAGCAAAGGAGTGACAAGGACCCAGATCGAGGGGAAAGCAGGATGGAAGAAAGGAGGAGAGGAATGAGGAAAAGAGAGCAGGGAGGGGTAGACAGCAGAAGAATCCTGTGTGGAGACAGACAAGGCTGGCCCATTTGGGAAACCAAAGTGGTTACAAGTGACTCGAATGAAGCACTCTTCAGGACAGGGGTGGTATATGAAGCTGGAGCGGTCCCCAAGGCACATCAGGAAGAACTGGGGAGCTGGAACATCAATGTCGACACAATCAGACTTCATTGCCTGCTTTGATTTTTTTGAGAGTGTGGTACTAGGGTTTAAACTCAGGGCCTCACACTTGCTAAGCAAGCGCTCTACCACTTGAGCCACTCCACCAGCACTTTTTGTGTTAAGTGTTTTTGAGATAGGGTTTCCCTTTTGCTGCCCCAGCTGTCCTTGAACTGAGATCTTCCTAATCTCTGCCTCTGGAGTAGCCAGGATTACAGCTGTGAGCCACTGATGCCCAGCTTTCCAGAACATTTTGATTTGTGATGGACACCATGGGTGGTTCTTCCTAGAATGGGGTGGAGCAGCACATGCAAAATTACAGGTTTGTGTGTGGTAGACCCCTGCAGTCTACTCTGCCTGAAGTTACTGATGATATCACTCCAGAATGTAAAACATAGGAAAAACATCTTGGGAATGGAAAATGATCGTTTTCTTCACAAACATGTTGAAATTAAGGAATGTAGGGACATGCAAATAAAGACAGACAATGTAGAAAAATGATGCTGGGCACCAGTGGCTCACATCTGTAATCCTAGC